AGGACCAGCTGGCAGTGCTGCTGCAGGGATCTGTGACAGGAGTGATAGTGGTTTCTGTTGGAGAAAGAATTCTTGAGTAGGAGGGTGCATCCCTTAATACAAGCAGGGAAACAGAACTGGGAGAAGTTCCTGGTGTTAAAACAGTGCACTTGGGTTTGGGAGGTACAGCACATGCTTGGAGAAAGTAAGTTAAGAATCTGATTTTCAGAAGTGACAAGTATTTATGGGATCTGGGCCCAATCCTGAAGGCTGCACCACCAATTTGAGGTACTTGGTTTAAAAAAACAACTCCCTAACATTTCACAAGTTCATGGAGATTTTATTTACTGCTGGACATCACTGGCCAGGTTTGATATCCATCAGGAGACCAGAGAGGGACACAGTGATATTTCTTATCCTAAAAGGCTGTTCTGAAGACATAGACTAACAGAACTGAAGTTTCTGGAAGATTTCTGAATCTGGGAAATTTCAGTATTGGTGGTCTCAGAAAAGTCCCTTTTCAAATATCAAAGTGAGAGGGGGTTTCTCCTAGTGCTGCCAGCATGTGCCTTCCCTAAAACCTTGGGAGGGTGGCCAGGTTGTAGTGGAATGCCATGGCACCAAGTTTCTGTTTGAAATAAGGAAATGCTCACCATTGCCACAAGAAAAAGGTGTAATTTTGTAAACTCCAAGCAGATGAGTGAAAAAGTCCACTTATCTTGGCCCCTCTCTCCTGCCAGCTGATGCCCTGCCTGAGAGCTGCTCAAAACAGGCAGAGCCCAGAGTCACTGTTCTATGTACACACAGGACACAGATTTACAGCTACACACACACACAGCCAGTCACAGCTGCTCTTGTTTTACCACTTGCTGCTTTTTCAGCCCCTGACACCCTCTGACCCACACTTCCTCTGACAGAGGCTGCCCTTCCTGTGGTACCTGTGTTGGATTTCCACACAGGGCATTCATCCCCATCTAGGGTTGTAGCCTGCACTTTCCCTACTTCCCAGATGGTGTTACTGTCCAACCTCACATCTCTTGGCATTCCAGATCCACAGCTTATGCTTGGACCATCTCCTACTGCCCTATCACCAAGAGCAGAAGCTGAAGGACACCAAAGTGAAGCAATACGGCTTCCCTGCTGCAGAAACATCACTGTTTCAACCTCTAGATTCACTCCCCGTGGCAGTCCTTCTTTCCTGGGGCTCCCACTTTATATTTCCATGGCACTACACAGTGAACTCCAGCTAAACTTACTCCTTCTAGCAGGAACAGCTGCAGGCTCTGAGCAGGCAGTGTTCACCCAGCCTGAGCTGGAGCAATCTCGTTGCTGAGACCTTCAAACACACTGGGCACTGCTTGGTGCCTTCTGTGTCCAGTCAGTGCCACTGCCAGGGCTCTGTCCCACCTGTCCAAGTCCTCTCCCAGGCCTCTGGACCACATCATCTCCTCCAGAGAGCTGTGCATTGGGCTGAGTGGGCATGGTTAGTACAGGTGGTGAGAGTACAGTGAGTGTGGGTGCCATGCAGCCACCTCACGCTGTGCCCCTACAGCTGTGGTGCTGCAAGTTCGGCCAAAGGCCAGCCCCCATCACTGCTCCTCTGCTGACAATGGTGGGTGCAGGGACCTCATAGCCCTGCAATAGGTAAAATGGGGCTGTAGCAAGGACTTGGGGCCCAGGAACTGCAGCTCCCATCCCCTCCAGCAGCCTCCTCCCATGGCCAGGTGCTGCAGCCCAGGTGCCTAAGAACTGCAAGGCTGGAGTGGAGTCCAGCACTGGTCTGCACCTGGCACAGCTTGGCAGAAGGTCAGCGTGGGTCCTGTGTCAGAAGGGTGTGGTCCCATGGGCTCAGATCCCACTGGTGCAGGCTTGTGAGTGCTGCTCCTCGCTCTGTCACTGAACAGCCTCTCCCCAGGGCCCCTGCAGGGTTAAAAGCTTCTGCTGCGCTTACAGCATCGAGGACACACGGGCTTCTCGTCACGCAGGTAAGACAAACCCGGCAGCACCTGGGGCATGGCTGAGACATGGAACATAGGACAGCATCTGGGGACAGCTTACTAAAGGACCCAGGTGCCATCCAGTCTCTGCTCTTGGCTGTGCAGGTGAGGGGTGAGAGGGCAGGGCTTCACCTGGTCCCTGTCCTGCACTGCTGCGGGGGGAACCTGGTGCTGACCCCCAGGGCTCCTGGATGGTCTGGGCAGGCTGTGGCTGCTCTGCTGCCTCCAATAGAGGCATCCAGATCTTTCCAAGATAAATTAATCCTGTGTTGTTACCTGCTCCCTCAGTTCAGCCATCCCCTCACACTGGGCCTTGGCTGTGCCCAGTGCTCAGGACCCCACATACCAGGGCTAAATGCTCCAGGTTACCTGCTCCGCTCACCTGAGGGAGTATGGATGCAGTGGCTTGGTGAGGAGAAGCACCTCCTCCTGCAGGAGCAGTTCCCCGGGTGGGTACAGAGCACATCTGAGCTCCTGCATGAGCAGAGCTGTGTCTCTGGCTGCCTCATATGTCACCACCACAAGGGTCCCTCCCATCTCCCAAGGGAAGGACGGGAACCTGACTGGCACTGGTGGCATCTGTGTCTCCTCTCTGCTCCCCTTCCAGCCTTTCTGGCCTTGTCTGCCTGGGCAGAGGTGTGTGTACCTGCTCTGTACCCTGTGCACAGGGTAACACCTGCTCAGTCTGTAGTTAGCATGAGAAATCCCCTTCAGTGCAGGTGAGAGAGGGAGGAAAAGGGTCAAGCAAGATGGAGGCTCTTTCCAGGCTCATTCCTCTGCAGTTCAAGGCGGCCAGGGAGATTCTCCTCCCACATCTTCCTATTCCTTGGTGTGCAGGATGTCTGAAGACAAATGGATTACATCTGGCATCTCCAAACTATGGCTGTGTTTGCTGACTGCCGCATCACTCCACACCAGGGTGAAAGCCATTGTCATTCCTCTGCACATTCCTGTGGTTGCTCCACAGCCCTGGAGTTCCATGTTCCATCCAGCCTGGATTTGTCAGCATGGGGAGGGCACCTGATGAGCTCTCCAGCCCCTGCTGTCCCTCCTGTGGTGGCAGGCACTCACTTTTGGCAGTGCCAGGTTCACCTGTCAGCAGCCTCCTGCCTCTGATGAACAGGTCAGTAGAAGCAGCACCCAGGCAGGTCCTGGACAGAGCCTTCCCCTCTCCCCCCACACAAGAGGGTACCCATGTCCTCACCAGCCAGCTGCCCTGACTGCTGTGACAGCTCACACAGCCTGAATTTCCAGTGTACACAGATCCACATGCACGTTGTGTGGCACTGCAGCAGGGACAGTGGGAGGCAGGAGGCAATTCCTGGGGAGTTGCTCCATGCCTTCACCCCACAGGACCCTCTCCCAGACAGCCAGGCTGGGCTATTCCTTCATCAAAACGTTCTTGGCTCAGGCTGGAGCTGGAGGAAGAGCAACGGTCTGAGATTTACAGACCACTGGATGATACAGGCCTTGTGTCCCTCTCCAATATGTGCAGAATTAGTAATTTTAGAAAGCCCAAAGTGTGCAGAATGAGTAGATAAAGAATATGTTGATCTGTGCAACTACCTGAGAACTTGCCCATGCAGAGGTTTCCCAGCCTGGTGCATCCTGAGTGGAGTGATGAGTTAGGATGTCACTGTGCCAGGCAAGGAAGAACTCATCTTCCGATTGAGCATTTTCCTCTCAAAGTTTTTTTTTAAAAAAAGTTGAAAAACTAACAAGTGAAAGAGAAATTAATCAGAACTTAATTCTGCTTCTGCTTAACAAGCCCTGGTATTGCTCCCAGTGCACAGGGAGAAAATACCCTCAGAACAGGATAGTCTTCAGCTGGAGGACCTGAAAATTATGAACGAGACAGAAGTGACAATGGAGCAATTCCAACAGTAAACATGCACAATTTTAACAGTGCTTTGACAATTTCCTGTGGTAAGCAGCTACAAGAAACAAACTTCCACCAGCGAATTCTCCAGCACTTAATGTTATAAATGCATGACTGATGCACAGATACAGGCTTTGGTCAGGGAAATTAAAACCAGACTAATGGGTCTAAAGCAAGGGAACCTTGAAACTAAATTAGATTGTTTAATCTCCTGAACAGACATGACAATTGACTTCTGTTGCTAAAAGTACTTTTATAAGGAGGAAGGGGGGATGCTTTCTTTTTTCTTTCTTTTTTCTTTTTTTGGTCTTTTCCTACTGAAGCACCTTGGCCCCACCCATGGAGTCCAGGGCATGGGCAGGGTGGGCAGCAGCAGCCCTGGCCATAAGCACCCAGCACACACCACCTCCATCAGCCCTTGGCTGAAGTTCCGAACTGTAAATGCTTCCTTGTGCCTCCTCCATCTCTTGGGCATGGTGATCACAGCTCCATGTGAAAGTGAGCAAAACTATTGTGTCAGGGTGAAAATTGAAATAGGATGATGGAAAAAAGGTTGGGAGTTCCAGGCCAGGAGATCCCTGATGGCTTAAATTTTCCTGTGGCTCAAACAAACCCCATGTGATGAGTTGTCCTTTGTTGGAAGCTTACTTTTCAAAGTGGAATGCTTGCTTTGTGAGAGCTGGTTATTACAAAGCAGAAAACAGGATAAAGAAATAAACATTTTTTAACTGGCACAGGGTGATGGCATATCCCCAGCCCAGGGCTGGAGAAGAGCAAGCTTAGTGGCTGTGGCATCTAGAGAATGCTGCAACCTGTCCAGGGGCAGGGAAACATCTACTCACCATAAATACATTCAGGAGGGGGAGAGACACATGCTTGGAATAATCATCAGGACTAGGGGCTGGGTAGGGTTAGGGTTAGGAACTCCAAGAGGTGTGGGTGGATGCCCCCTGCTCTTGGGTTTTTCCGTGTGCTTCTTCTGCAGTCAGGTACCCAACACTGGATGACAGCTCTTTGAACTCCAAAATCCAAGTGTCTGTGAAATCTGAACTTGGGAAATTTTCAACGACTACAAAGACGGGACCAGAGCCATTCCACCAGTGACCTCCTTGCCTCATGGGAGGCTGTGCTTTAGTCCCCTGGCTCACAGTTCCCCCCACCTCCTCAGTGCTCATTTCTGCCCAAAGACTGATCCAGCTTGCCCCACGGCAGGTATGAACCAGACTCAGGTGATGGAATTTGTGCTCTTGGGCTTTCCCCACAGCCAGCCCTTCTTCTTTGCTCTTTTCCTGACCATCTACCTGGCCACGCTGCTGGGGAACTCTGCAATACTCTCCCTCGTGTCCCTCGATCCCCATCTCCACAGCCCCATGTACTTTTTCCTTAGTCACCTGTCCTGCTTAGACCTTTGCTACTCATCAGTGACAGTGCCCAAGATCCTGGCAAACACTCTGCGCCCACAGGCAACCATCTCCTACGGCGGGTGCCTGGCGCAGATGTTCTTCCTGATGTGGTGCGCGGGGGCCGAGTGCGCGCTGCTCGCTGTCATGGCCTACGACCGCTACGCTGCCGTGTGCCAGCCCCTGCACTACGCCCAGGCCCTGAGCCACAGCACCTGTGCAGCAGCTGCTGCTGCCTGCTGGCTCTGGGGGCTGCTGGACTCGGCCGTGCACACCCTCCTGGCGACCCGGCTCTCGTTCTGCGGGGCTGCCCAGCTCCAGCACATCTTCTGCGACGTGCCGCCGCTGCTGGGGGCCACCTGCAGCAACACCCGCCCCAATGAGCTGGCCCTCCATGTGTCCAGCATCTTTGTGGGACTCAGTCCCTTCCTGTTTGTTGTAATCTCCTACCTTTGCATCCTGGCCACCATCCTGGGGATGCCACTGGCCACCAGCCGGCGCAAGGCCTTCTCCACCTGCTCTGCACACCTGCTCGTGATCACCCTGTACTTCACGACAGCCAACCTGAACTACAACCGGCCCAGCTCAGGTTACTCCCCAGCAGCTGATGTACTGGTCTCCGTGTTGTACTGCATCATCACCCCCATGCTCAACCCCCTCATCTACAGCCTTCGCAACCAGGAGGTGTGGGGGGCCCTGCGGAAGGTTGTGCGGGTGTCTGGCACACCAGGCTCCGCAGGCAACAATGCCTGACCATTGCCAGGGCTGCCACAGGCTGCCCACACGGCGCTGGCACTGCAGTGTCCATCTGTGGGACATCTGTGACAGCACAGGGAGCCTGGGGCTCCCAGCCTAAGCATGTGGCACACTGCTGTCACTCGTCACCCTCAGCACATCACTGATAGCAGAATGGCAAAATAAAGTCAGGAACAAGGCTACAGGTCCAGGATTCTGTCTATTTTTCAGACACCATGTGCTGAGCTCAGCACAGGCCCTGCAGCAGCTGTGCTGTGGCCAGGGAACCCTGCAAAAAGCTAATAATGTGGTGCCAGACGTGCTGGCCCTGGGCATGGCCACGAGCTATGCCTCAGGGCTGCCCAAAGTCTTGAGTCTCTGCCCTGTGCAGAACAAGGACAGTGCCTTGGACTGCAAAACCTGGCCTGGGCAAGAGGGGCTGTCCCACTCTCCAGTGTTCCCACGTGCCTTGGCTTTAAATCTGGTGTCTGCTGGGCTTCCCCAGGCTGCCAGGGAGGCTCTGCAGCACTTTGTACATAAGCACAGAGCCTTGCACAGGCCACCCATGGCCTCAGTGCTGCAGTCAGACACAGAGGTCTCAGCACAGAGCTGAGAGCTAGTGGCACTGAACTCACCAGAAATGCTTTGTTTATGGCCAGTAAAATTGCCCTCTGCAGCTGTTGCATGTGGTGTGGCCCTGGGTGATGGTGGCTGAGGACTGGCTGGGGATGTGGGGCTGCCTCAGTCCCCTCTTCCAGCTGGGGGTCTGCAGCTGTGTGCAGCCTCAAATGGTTCTGTGGGTGTGGGGGCAGTGGCCAAATCTACAGCTGCGTACATGGGGCACAGCAGTGTCCAGCACTGTGCCAGAGCCAGGAGCAGGGGCTTACTGGGGCAAGGGAGATGGCACAGGCAGGGCACACCTGCAGTCACACAACCTATGTCAGCTGGATGTCAGCTGAACACAAACCTGCTCATCTTTGGCTCAGTTACCAAGAGATACGCAACAATATCTAATCTGCTCCAAAAGAAACCCACTGGAGAGTGGGAACTGGGACTTAGGAGGCACACAGCCTTGCTGGGAGCAGTTTGCCATTTCTTAATGCACAACACATGCTGATTTTACTCTTCAGGGAAAGAAATGTTTCTGTAACCCACCTGTTGGGTTGGGCTCTTGCTCCTGTCCAGACAGGTTGTGAGCCCCTCAGCCCTCCGTGCTATATGCCGTTCTGGATTCTAAAATGTCCTAGAAACACCCTCAGTCCAGTGTCACTGGGCACTTCAGAGTCTGACCAATGAACCCCTTTCTGGAGAGCCCCTGGAAAGGGGCAGCAGGAAACACAGCAGAAACTACACAAGGAAAAAGACTGGGGAAGTTACCTCAGAGAAACAAAAAATCCAAAGCACTCCAAACAAAAACCCCAAAGCTAACCAACCAGAAATCCAAACAAGAAACCTCTGGAAAATTACATTAAAATTTATAATTTTTAACCTGGATGCCAATGCACCCTTCCTGTGACAGACACAGCCTTTGGGTTTTCCAGGATCAAACACCGAGCAGGAATGCCACACTCCTGCCTGGATAGTACAGGCTTGGTCAACTGGTGGGTGGTCCAGAACTCACCTGCAAACCACACTGAACTCTAAAGCTTTAGTGTCACAGTGGGACCCTCTGCACACATTGCTGGCAGTGGCAGTGACTGGGGTGTGCTCCCACAGCCCCTCAGGTGTTCCCACAGCCCCTCAGGTGTTCCCACAGCCCCTCAGGTGTTCCCACAGCCCCTCAGGTGCTCCCACAACCCCTCAGGTGCTCCCACAACCCCTCAGGTGCTGTTCTACTCAGCTATCCCTGAGTAGATATCCCTGAGCAGCTTATTCCTGCTGTGATGGTACCTGCATCCCACAGAGGAATAATTCTAATTACTAAGAGGTACTGGCTTGAGGGAGTTCTTTACTTTGCATTTCTGAAAACTGTTTTAAACATTAGCAATAAAATGTTTCCTCCCATCTTTCCTCCCGCTTGCCCAGCCTTTTCCCCACATCTGTGCTGAAAAGTCAGGGGGCTTTTTCAGGAGTCTCCAGCAGGCACAGGGGACACGAGCTGTCACAGAACCATCAGGACACAATTTGAGCCAGGCCAGAGCAGAAGCTGTGAGGGAGGGCACAGCCCCAAGGGACAGACACACCTGTGCCCAAAAGGGGCACACAGACCATGTTCCTGTTTTTCTGGTCCATGTTGCAAACATAAAAATGTTTCCTAAAATGTTTCCTAAAAATGGAAACCCTTCCTTGGAATAAACACAACTTGGCTTTCCAAGTGCTCTTTTCCCTGCCCCCTGACTAGGATGAGATCCAGGGCCACAGCAACTGACCAAAGTCCCAGAGCTCATGCCCCTTCTGCTTTGCCTGGACTAGATTTGGTATTTCTGCTCTGGGAATTACCCCACTGGGAACAGGACACAATCCCGCAGACCTGCTGGCTGACAGGTGGGGCAGCCTAGATAGAAGAGACCTTATACTGCACTCACATGCTCTTAAACCATCCCACCTTTCCCACCTGGAAGTGGATGGGAATCAAAATCTTCTTGGGCATAAGACAAAACATTCCCCCTGGCACTGCCAGTTTGTTCCTTGCTATGTAGATATACCAAGCTGAGCCAAATGAAGCTGATAACATGGGAAAGGCTGAAGCAGAGAGAGGCTGACACTGAGAGGCATGATTTGACACTGGCCAAATGCCAAGCACCCACAAAAGTCACTCACTAACCCTCCCCTGCCACAGCTGGGCAGAGGAGGGAAAAAAAATTAAATGAAGGGTTCATGAGTTGAGATAAGGACTGAGAAAACACTTCACACCATGGTCTTCACCATGGCCTGCAGAGGAATCTTGGCTCCGGCGCTGAGCACTTCCCGCCCCTCTGTCTCCACTGACCTTGGCGTCTCTGTGCTGTTTCCCTCACATGTTCTCACCTCCACCTCTTCCCTGACTAGGAAAAAACCAAAACTGTGCCCACTTTGTTTTGATTTTCTTCTTAAATGCATTATTCGCAGAGGCAAGAGGTGGAATGTGTTGGTTTTGCACAGCCTGGATATGGTAGCAAGGTGGGCCACAGAGGTGGCACCTCTGAGAAGCTGCTGGAAGCTTCCACCATGTCCGGCAGAACCAATCCCTGATGGCTCTGAAGATGGAACATGCTGCTGGCCAAGGCTGGGCCAGTTAGAGATGATGGTAACACCTCTGATATCAGATTGCATAAGAAAGTCAAAACAAAGTGAGGAGCAATTTTAATTCCAGCTAGAGAAGAGGAGGAGGTGAAAACATGTGAGGGAAACAACATGGAGACACCAAGGTCAGTGGGGAAGGAGGGGCAGGAGGTGCTCCAGGTGCCCAAGCTGAAATTCGTCTGCAGGCCATGGTGATGACCATGGTGAAGCAGCTGTACCCCTGCAGCCTGTGGGGATCCATGGGGGATGCAGAGATCCACCCACAGCCCATGGGGATCCATGGGGAATGCAGAGATCCACCCACAGCCCATGGGGATCCATGGGGAATGCAGAGATCCACCCACAGCCCATGGGGATCCACAGGGCTGCAAAGATCCCCCCACAGCCCATGGGGATCCATGGGGGATGCAGAGATCCACCCACAGCCCATGGGGATCCATGGGGAATGCAGAGATCCACCCACAGCCCATGGGGATCCATGGGGAATGCAGAGATCCACCCACAGCCTGTGGCAGAGGTGCCCACGCTGGAGCAGGTGGATGCTTGTGGAAGACCCAGTGGAGAGAGGGCCCTGCTTCCAGGCTGGAGCCGCTTGTCCTTGGAGGACTGCACCCTGTGGAAGAGAGACCTATGCCACGACAGTTTTGGAAGGACTGCTGCTCACGAGAGTGGACCTGCGTCAGACAAGTTCACGGAGAACTGTCTCCCATGGGAGGGACCCCATGGTCTCACAGAGGAAAGACTCCTCTCCCACAGCAGTGCAAGAAAATCTTAGTGATAAACTGACCAAAACCCCCATGCCCTGTCTCCCTGCACTGTTGGTGGGAAGGAGAGAGGGGTTAGGGGGAAAAAATGGCTTATTTTATTTCTCATTATCCTCCTCTGACTCTGTTAGTAATAAATTCATTTTTTACCTCTAAGTCAAGCCTGTTTTGGCCTTGGAGTGTTTTCTCCTGGCCCTTAGTTCACAAAGGCTTCATTAAATTTTTCCTTCCTCTGCCCAGCTGTGGCAGGGGAGGGGGAGTGAGTGACTTTTGTGGGTGCCTGGCATTTGGCCAGTGTCAAATCAAAATAGAGGCAAAAGTTTGTAAGGAAGCAGCTTGCACTTCATTGCAGAAGCTTCACATAATTTGCTGGGAAGAGGCCGACTCTGCCATGGCACTGTCCCTGCCACCAGCCTTCATCCACCATCTCAATGTGTGTGATTGTGTCATCAGGATCAAAAGAAATCTCATCATCTCCATCTGCAAAAATTGTCAAGAAAAGACAGTCACTCTCTGCAAAGAGAACCCCAGAGAGAGCTGGTTTGCATTCTTCCTCCCACCTTCCCCCAGGCAGAAGACAGAACAAGTGCTCTGATAACCCCCAAGAATTTACCTCAACCAAAGCCCACCCAACAGCACAGATAAAGCAGAGAAAGAGCAAGACCTCACAGATGGAAGATGAAGTTTCTCTGTTCCTATCCTGCTTTGGGCCGGGACAAGGCTAATTTTTTGCAGTAGCTGGGAGGGGCCATGATCAAGACATGGAGGTTATTCCATACCACCTCATGTCATTGCCAGGGGTGGGGGAAAGGGACACTCGATTCCAAGGAAGACGGGGTTTCTTCTGGTTGAGAAAATATTGCCTATTGCTGGGTGTTTTCCTGTGTGAATAATTTATTTTCTTATACCTTTGGTTATTAACATTGTTGCTGTTACTGTTTCCTTTCTTATTGCTGTTTCCAGTACATTGCTCTTATCTCAGCCTGTGATCCTTGCCTTTTTGTGCCTCCAATTGGAAAGGAGAAGTGATGCAGTTTTTTTTACTGGGAGTACTAAATTGGAGAATATCATTCCTACATGATGACAGTTCCCAAGTCAGGTCTCATTCTGCTTCCCAGGAGGCAGAAATTTAAACCGCCAAGTCCCAGTCTTTTCCCCAGTGCTGATGTGGTGAACCCCCATGTCCCCGTTGCACAGCCCTGCCAGGGCACAGCGCCTTCCCCGAAGCCCCGAGGGCAGACCCACCTCCTTGGTAATCGTAGAGAGCCACTGCGCAGAGCCCGGGGCTCTGCCCCTCGTAAGCACTGTCCAAGTTCCCTGCAGAACACGAGAGAGACAGATGAGACAGGCTGACGCAGACACACTGTCCTGGTCAGTGCCACCCTCCAGCTCTGGGGAAGCACATCCAAACCCTGTGGGCAAGGAGAGGTGCACCACAGCCCAAAGCAAGGTGTGACTTCCCTGGCCTTCTTCAAGGAGACAGTTGGGTCCTGATCTTTCACCCTCCTCTCCCAAGAAAAAGGCTGGGAATAACTCCAACCTCTTCACATGACATCTCCAGTACCAGCAAAGCTGTGATGGAAGCACTGACAGTGGCCCATGCAGTTTGCTCCTGTGCTCAGACAAAGGCTGCCTGCACTCCTCACACCAGGAGACTCCACCAGACTCAGGAACACCAGCCATGTGAAGAATGGGCAGAACCAGAGGCACCCCCATTGCAGCACTAGTAGCCACTTGCCAGGAAATTGCAGCAAGAGCATTGGTCCACATCCAGCTTCTCCTGGGCCTGTGGCAGCCTCCTGCCCAGACCCCAACCCAGCAGATTCCTGCTGTCTGGTCCAGCATCCCATGCAGCTCATCTGCACCTTAGAGCTGGGCAGGGGAGTGGGACACAACCAAGTCATGATCATCAGAAGCTGCTATCCTGACCACAGTGGACTTCAGGATAAAAATTCCTCTGGGCTTTGTCCCATACGTCCAGTGAGGTTAGTGGACAGGTACAAGCTCCCCAAGACATGGGCTTTTCCATCAGTACTCACCCAGGTGGGGTTGGCTCTGTCTGGGCTCCTGAGGAAGGATCACCTCATAGTCTTCACCTCCATCTCCTCCAAAGTCATAGGTAGCATCCAGCTTTCCCAGCGGGGCTGGCAGCTCCTCATAGTCAGCACCTCCACTGGTAATGTCACAGTAGTCAGAGGATTCTGGCAGCTCCTCATAGCCTCCATCAACATCCAGACTTATGCTGTAGGTGGGCTGACCCTGGCTGGGGACCTTGCACTGGTCTGCATCCAGATCTGCTGGCCTTGGTGGCAAAGAGGGTGGTACTTCTTCATCCTCCCTTTTGGCCTCCTGCCATGAGGTGGGAAAGTAACAGGAAAGTCACCTGCAAAGCACTCACTGCAAGCAGTTCTTCCCTGACTCCTAGCACGTGACACAAGGCAGCCCCTTTCCTGTTGCCAGGGCACAAATGGAGCATCATTCCCTGCACACCAGGGAAACAGCTGAGCTACTCAGGCCTTCCTGAACCAGCAGCTGGGATTGCTCTGGAGACCCTCAGGACCCTCAGTGTTTGAACTCTGTTCATACTTCACCACAGCCCACTGTAGCCCACCACACTGACCCACACCCAGAGCTCGTCCCATGGGGTCGGGTGCTGTGCAGCCATGTCCCATCCCCATCCCAGTGCTCCCCCTTACCCTTCCAAAGCTTCTCACACCCTGTGGCTATGCTCCACATCTTCTGGCACATAAAGTAAAGCCCCCCTCAGGTGCAGTCCCCTCCCCAGCTCTCCCAGGCTGCCTTGGCACCTGTTCTCCTGGTGACACGGGCTGGTCCCCAGCAGTGCTCCTGGCTACCCTTGCTGGCACGGCTGGAGGGGCTGCCCCAGTGTGCTCCTTCTCTCTCGGAGGGATTTCCTGCTAAAGAAAAGCCATCAGACCACTCAGTCCCTTTGAACAATGGCTGTTCACATTCCCAACGGAGCAATTCAGAACATTTTCCTTCACCTACAAACCTGCTCTGGGCCTGGGCACTCACAGGCTGGTGACAACAGTGGGGCAGTCCTGAAGAGGACCATTGTGGTGGGGGGACAGCTTCACTGTTAACACCCCTTTGTCCTCTGAGTGCAGGAACAGTACCAAACGGTGAGGCAGGTAAGCACAGGGGCTGGGTGCCATCTCCAGTTTGCTGGGATGCATCCCACATACAGACCGCTGGGATAGCAGTGCTGGGGAGCAGTAACCACATTGTTTGCCAAGCACCAGAGGCAAAAGAAGCTGGGGTCAGAGTACAGGCACCATGGTTGGGTGCAGGTATGTCCTTATATGAGTGTTTGGTGTGCTGAAAAGGAAAGTCCAGTGACAACTGTGAAGCTTGGTGGCCATTCTTGGCAGATGCAGGGAAGCAATTTGGGCAGGAGGTTACCCTCAAGAGACTAGATAGAAGGACATGGAGCTGAAAAGCTCTGAGGAAGTCTGTGTCATGAGTCTTGGAAGACATGGCAAGACAGCCCTGGCTCACCTGCTGCCGGGCCTGCCTTCTGCTCTCTTCCTCTGCTGACTTGGCCATGTGTTCAAACCGTGACCGCAGGCTGCTGGTGCCACTGGAAGCTCCTGTGAGGAGAGAGCTGATTGACTCAGCCCTATGTCTTCTTTCCACCACCCCAAGCATCCAGGAGAAACCCAGACCACTGCCTCTTCCAGAGAAACTTGTAGTTCAGCCACCTTCTTCTGCCCTGCAGCCCAGGTTAAATCTTCAGCCCAGCACAGCACACACCTGCCAGCATGCTGCCATGGAGGGACTGTGAGGCCCACAGCTTCCTAAGCCCAGGGCTGGTACTTGGGTCTCACCTGCCTCCAGGGGTCTTGTTTTCTCATAGGAGGAGGTGGGAGCTGCCATCTCATCAAAGCCAGCAGCACTCTGCAAGAGGAAGTGAAAGAATTGCTCAGCTTGTTGGGCAATGCCTGCCAGTGCTGGCTTTGGGTACTGGTGATGGCAAGCTTTGTTCCCAGGTGTGTTTGTCCTCACCTGTACACCTGCTCTGGCCCAGGGGACGCTGTTGGCTGCAGTCCCCACTTGTAACACCTCCCTGTCCTAGGGACGTGCCTGCTGTCCCCCAGCCAAGGACGCAGGTGTCCCTGCCCAAGAGGTGGCACTGAGAGCTGGAAAGGAGCTGTGGAGCCCAGCGGGGGAGGCTGAGCAGTGGCACAGGACAGCAGGGCTGGCAGCACTCCCCATACCATGGCAAGGAGCTGTGGAATGCCTGGCAGGATGCCTGGCCTCTGCCTCTTCCCCAGGCCCAGGGAATGCGTCCATCCCTGCACTCCCCATGGCATGAGGCCTGAAAGCACTTCCCTGCTGGGTGCAGAGCTGCCTCACCTGCTGGGTGTGCAGTGGCACAGGCTGGAAACCAGCACCTGTGTGTGAACACTGCTGGCATCACTGTGGTGATACCACCCTTCAGGAGATATGGAAAGAGGTTGAACTGGGAATAGCATCGGTGGGGAGGGGGCAGGAAAACCAAAGTGAGATAGAGAAGGCTTAAGGGTTTATCTGCTTTCATGAGAAAAATACCTCATGCAAAAAGAAACAAGCGGGTAGGAGCCACTTTTCAGCCTGACACTTTACACCAGGTGCTGCCTGCAGGTGTCACAATAGGCTGGTGGCCGACTGCAGACAGGGAGCCCTGGCAGCAGCTCTGCTCTTCCTACAGAAAACACACCTGAGCAGGCAAACCAGCCTGCAGGCTCAGAACCAGGTGTCCACAGGTCACAGCAGAGGCCTGGACGTGCTGTGTATATGACAGCATTTGTATTTTGTGTGAGCCTTAGTCTGATACTGAGTGTCCAGAACTCTACCAAAGGGGAGATCAGGCTGCCTGAGGGTTTGTTATACTCTGCTCTGGTGCTGCGAGTTCAGCATTTCTCCACTCCTGAGGACCAGGCAATCTGAAACTTAGTTACCTGCCAAAAAAATCCTGATTTTTAACATGTCTGTTTATGCTTCAGTACTCTCAAAATGCACAAATTCATGTTCACTTTGAGTCCAACAAGAACTGCTTATCTCCTCTCTGCTTCCGTCTTCCCCAAGGACCCACAGCCCTTTTACCAAGTCCTCATCTGCTTTTGCATATTGTTTTTGACCACATACAAGATTGCCTTTTGTCAGTGCCCCTCCATTTGCTGTTGTTAAATTCACAGATAGCACTGATCTCTTCTGAGGGCAGGACAACATTCCCTCTCTGTTGCTGGCCCAGCCTACACAGACAGCATGGACAGGACCATGTGGGGTGTTTTGGTGTGTTTGTATCCTCCCCTGCTTCCTCAGGCTCCCAAGGACAGCAATGTTGGTGCTGTACCAGGCACAGCACCGTGCCTCCCAGCAGGGGAAGGAGGTTTCAGGGAGGGCACTCTCACTGCCTCTTCCAAATGCCCCAAGATTTGCATCTTTAGGCTGTCCACATCCACGCAGATCACCACCCACTGGCAGGACCCCCTGTGGGGACCAAGCCTTCGGGGCAGTCTGCCAAGCACAGAATTGAGCCTCACTCTGGGATGGGGCTGCAGAGGAGGCTTTGTCTGGGGTCAGCCCAAACAGAAAACCTGAACCAGCAACTTGGTGAGCTCTTCTCACGCCCAGCAGATTGATCTATGCCAATCCCATCCCTGCTGGAGTTTGTCAAGGTGTGCAGGAAGATTTAGCACCTGAACAGACCGTGAGGCACTCCTTGATAGGAGTGAAAAACCTGCAGAGGGTAACCAACAGCAGAGAAGTGAGGAGCGACAGAGAGTGCCACGAGGAATTCCCTGCATTAGTCTCCCCAGGCTGCATCCCTCTGCACCCTCTGGTATTTCACTCTCAGCCAGTTTCTTCTTGCCACAGCTGTGCACGGGGATCTCACTGGGAGCTGTGCACCTCCACTGTGCTTCTCTTTCAGCTGGGCAAAAAGCAGTGGTTAGGAGCAAGCAATTGCTGGCTGCAGGAGTCTTACCTTATCCACTCTATCCTTCTGGACACCATAACGGCCTCCAAACCCCTTGGCATAGTCTGTATGGAAAAATGCTATTTTATAGTATTTTGTATTTTGCATGCACCTCTGACTTCAGTATGCTGTGACCAATGAAATGACTTTGCATGTGCTATCTCTAGTTAGTTCCATATGTGATGAGATACAGATAAAGCTAAGTGCTCTGGACAGTAGCTTTTAGGACTAATCCCTCCCTGCTTTCAGGTGAGGGTGCAGGGTGCAGGGCTGTAGATGCCAAACCCGAGCCCAAGGCACCAGGGTGAGGCCAGTCACCCCAGCTGAGGGGAGCGTGGCCCTGTTCATGAGGTCAAACATGCTGCACACAAGGCAGTCCTGGGATCTGCTCTGCCTCATTCCTCTGTGCTCACCCTCACAATGAACTTATGGTCAGGAACATCCCTCACAGAGAAAGCACTGCAGAGTGTGGGAGTCCTGATTGAGGGACTCACATTCTATGTCCCCCACTAATCCGAGGTCCCACCTACTCTGCCCCTGTGCTTTGGGGTTCAGTGTGTCTCAGCTGCTCTGCCACGTGCTGGATCTTTTACTATGAACCACAAGCTCCAGACACAGGTCTGTGTGTGCTCCAAGGAAACTGCTACCACCTCTGGCAACATTGCCCAACCTCTCTGGGATGCGTGGGCTTGCACTTCTTCCTGATGGTCCCAGCCAAGGGCGTTCTTGTCTTGACGATCCCTCTGGACCCCAAACTTCCCACCAAAGCCCACGGAATAGTCTTCAGCCACAGGGATCCAGATTGGGGCATGGAAGAGAATACACAAGGGAGGGAAGGAGATGAGTGGCAGCAGTGTGAGTTCAGGTTTTCCATGCCCGGGACTTAGAGAAAGGCATAGATCAAGGCCAGATTTCCCCACTGGTGCTGCAGCAACAGCCCTCCCTCATCCCTGAGATATGTCACCTGCTATTAGCACCTGCCTGGGCTTCCCCTTCACCTTTCCTTTGACATGCTGTCCAAGAGATCCCTATGTCCACAGAACTCTTCTGCTTCTCTTCCTTTAGCCTGAACTCTTTTCAGCAGTCATGCACTATGCAATGGCTTTCCTCACCTGGCCCATTCCCAACCGCTCCTGTAGCTCTTCTACCATTCTTGCAGCAGATTGCAAATGTCCTGCACAGAGCCCCTTAGTCCCAGCAGGCACAGTGCCCACTGTCTGTTCCCCACCTCAGCTGCCTCCCCCAGCTCCCCCAGCCCCCTCAGATTCCCCCACCTCACCTTGTTGCCATGGCTCACCTTTCTGAGACTCATGCTTCTCTGCCTGGCTCTTGTAGTCAAATCCCAGAGCTGCTTTGTCCACCTTATCCCTTTCCACTCCGTAACGGCCACCAAAGCCCTTGGAATAATCTGAGGTGGTATATGGAGTCAAATGCTGCCCCCAGCATGGGGCTGGTGAGGACAAGATAGGGAGCAGCACTGAAAAGTGCCACCAGGGAAAAGGGACAGCAGCAGAGATTAGGAAATTATGGATTTATGCACGACAGAAAGTGAAGGGTTGGAGGGGACAGAGTGGATGGCAGGGAGCACCACAGATGAGAGCCCAGAGGAATGGGGTCACAAGGCAAATGGGGGTCAGGGCACCAGGAGACACAGCAGGCCAGGAGGAAAGGAAGAAAACTGACGTGCCAAGGACACTGGGAGCTGTGTCACCCACGAAGGCAAAGCAAAGCAGGACTTGGGCACTGACAGCCAGGACATCAGTCCCTCACCCACCTCCAGAGCCAGGATTTCAGCCTGTGGTCTGCCAGCCTCAGAAAAGGGCTGTGAGTAAGACACTGAGCCTCGGGAGTACAGGAATGGCAGAAGGGCTGACATTTGCTGTAGTGGAATCTCAGCTTCCACAAAGGGGCACCTGAGCCTGGGGATTGCCACCAAGGCTGAACCCCCCTTTCTGCAGACTTGCTCCCACTCTTCTCCCTGGCACACTGGCCATTGTGTGAGAGCACAGCACCTTGTGCCTCTCCTTTTTCCAAACTGAAACCAGTGATCCATTAATGACTTCAACCATGTTCAGCTGTTTTCTAAGGACAGCCTGGTTATTAGTGGCTGATTCCCGAGATATTTCAGCTTCCATCCTGATTCCTGGCTGTACAGACTCCTCTTTTCAGACAGCTGCCTGCTCAGTCTCTAAACTCTGCCCTTCAGGAGTAAACCGGAGCCACCTCTCCCTGTTCCCTAATGCTATTCTCACAGGTCTGCATTTCATGGGACTAAGTTGAGGCTTCTTTGACAACTTCATCTTTACCAATCCACGGAGGCTGTGATCTAGAGAAATATGTGATGAAATTTGGATGCTTTGTAGGGTTTTGCTTTCATATCCATTGCTGTGCCTTTCCTTACAGGGCTGATTTTCCAGCAACCACTTGTCAAGTGCGACAGTGCTCAGGCTTCCTCTGGAGCAGTTCTACGAAGGGCTTTGAGAGGAGAGGGAGAACCAGCCATCCATCTCAGGGTGGGGGTGTCTCCTCTGCTCAGCCAGGACAGGTTTTACACCAAAGCAAAGCACAGAGACAAGCAGGAGGTACAGTGACAGGACAGGGGCGAATGGGGCCACAAGGGTGATGGACTGGAAATGGGAATCTGAAACAAGGGATAGGAGACTGTGCCACAGCCAACAGCATGGGATGCTGGCAGCAGAGGAGAAGCTGGGCAAAGAGTCAAGGGGCCACATATGCCCATGGACTTGCCTTTCTGGGATGAGTGTTTCTCCACCTCACCCTTGTATTCAAAGCCCAGTGCAGACTGGAACAAGAAGGGAAGGACTGTCAATCATCCTGAAGGCCAAGATGGATCTCAGCCTCCCTTCCTCTGGGGCCAGGCTATTACTGGCTCCCTGTCTTGTGCTGCAGCATGCAGGAGCAAACACCACAGCCCCTGGACAAACAGTGTTCTGCCTGGATCAGGCCCACCACAGCAATGCACAGCAGTTCCCTCCACAGCTACACCCCACTGTGTCATCGGTCACTGCCCTGTACAGGTGAGCTGTGCTTCAGCAACACCACGGCACAGGGCACACCCTTCATGCTCCAAGCTTTGAAAACAGCCACAGACTAGCATGCAGCAGTGCTCTAGGGGCAGCACAGGCCACAGGTACGTATTTCAGCTGCACTGTCCAACGCACCTTGTCAGCTCGGTCCCGCTGGACTCCAAACTTGCCGCCAAAGCCCTGGGCTGCATCTGTCTGGGAGGAATGCTTCTTAACATCAGCGATGTATTCGTGTCCTACTGCACACTGAGAGAAGAGACAGTGACATGAGCATCCATGGGGGACAGGCAGAGACACCACAGCTGCTTCCACATGCTGCTGACACACTCGCAGCCACAGGGTAACAGGTCCAAGCTGAGCTGTGCTCTCCACATGGCCTTTGCCAGCAGCAGCTCTGCTCTCAAGGGCTGTCATCTCACAAACAATACCCACTGCCAGCTCATTAAGCAAAGTGTAGGATGCCAAAAGCCAGCTGCTCTCGAGTGCTGGTGGAGTCGCACGGTGGATAATCACAAGGGAGACAAGAGAAAAGTGCAGATAGGCACACACAGCCGAGAACTGCAGGCAGAGGTCTGGCACCCATTCCCTGTTCTGTATCTGACAGCCAGGGCCAGCAAACCTGGCCACAGGCCAGGCCAGGATCCTGCTCTCCCTGCTGGAGGTGCTGTGGCCAGGAACCACAGACACTCTATGCCAAAATGGAAGAGCTGTGCTCACACTCTGCTGGACCACAGTGAGGGTGCTTTTGTTGAGCAACTGGCCTTTGTCCAGTTCCACAAGGATGCTTCAAGTGTTCAGCTTCTGTCCCTTCCCCTGAGGACCGTGTGCAGTTCCTGACTACAATGGCTCTGGCAGGGAGAGAAGGGAATTTTTGAGGACAGTCCTTCTCACCCTGCCATCCTGGCATTGTTCAATCCCACAGTGACCACACCTATGGAACTCTACTGCAATCTAATAATCTCACTTCTGAGAAAGAAGCATTAAAAGCTGAAAGGTGCAGGAAGAAGTGTGGTAATGATTACCACAAAACATAGACCAGATCTGATGTATAGGGCCATATTTTGGGGAGATATGAGGTCTGTAATGCAGAAATATGAGGAGAGGAGGGAATTACTATACATTAGTTCTCCAAGTAGGGAAGCACCAGATTTAACTGTTATGCAGCAGGCTTGAGCTGCCACAGAACATCCTTCACAGCTAAAGGGAGCATTGCAAATAAGTTGTAAAGACAAGTTACAAAAATGAAATCAAACAGACCCTGGAGAGAGATTATGGGTTAGCTGAACATGTGTGAATCTGTGCAGCCATGCAAACTCTCCATTCTCTCCCTTCAGGGTCAGGCCAGAAAACAGGGATGCCCCTTCCCTTTATGAGAAAAGCACTTTTCCACTGAGGCTCAAGGAAGTCTTTCACAGCTGTTACCTTATCCATTCGGTCTCGCTCTGTTCCAAATTTGCCCCCATAGCCATAGGATGCCTTGGGGCCGGTTTCCAGCTCCTTCTTCTTGATGACCTCATGTTCCTCTGATACCTTGTTCCTCAGCTGATGGATGCTGGACACAGAAACAGGGCAGGTCAGTGTGGAATTTTGCAGAGCCATGCAGCTCTCTGGAGCATCCCTGTGTCCCTGCACCATCCAAAACCCAGGGGGACACACACGAAGGACCAGCTGCCTGCGCAAGGCTCCCCTGGGTGCCAGCCACACACGCAGCTGCTGTGCCCGAGAGGGCACCCCGGGGTCTGGCAAGGGCCCAATGGGCTCAGGGGGACATCCAGCCCCTCTCCTGCAGCCGTGTTCAGGGCTACACCCCGACCTCCTCGGGAGCCCACACCTTCCTTTTTCCGAGTGCTGAGTGGGCTGTCCCGAGGCAGGGAAGGAGCGGGCAACCTTTGCACCGGGGCAGCGCCATGTGCAGGTGTTTGCACAGGTTCCTGCAGGTTCCGTGTGCAGGTTCCGTGTGCAGGTTCCCTGTGCAGGTTCCGTGTGCAGGTTCCCTGTGCAGGTGTTCGCACAGGTTCCGTGTGCAGGTTCCCTGTGCAGGTGTTCGCACAGGTTCCGTGTGCAGGTTCCCTGTGCAGGTGTTCGCACAGGTTCCGTGTGCAGGTTCCCTGTGCAGGTGTTCGCACAGGTTCCGTGTGCAGGTTCCCTGTGCAGGT